ATTGACTACAAAAAGGCATTTGACTCTCTGCCACATGATTGGATAATAAAGTGCCTAGAAATAACAGTAGTCAGTAGAAACATCAGAAAATTTGTGCAAAGATCGATGGCACAATGGAAGACACAGTTGCAGATCAATGGTGAGAGGCTGGGAGAGGTTAATATCAAGAGAGGAATATGTCAAGGAGATTCATTATCACCATTACTATTTGTTATTGCACTGTTTCCTCTGTCAACAATACTGAATAACTCAGGACATGGCTATCAAACATCAAAAACATCTGCCAGACTATCCCACCTCCTTTATATGGATGATCTGAAGCTGTATGGAAAAACATCATCTGAAATAGAATCGCTGCTCAACACTGTCCGTATATATAGCCCAGATATTGTAATGGAGTTTGGCTTGGACAAATGTGCCACACTTACTATCAAACAAGGAAAAATAATGAAAACGGAAGGAATCAAGATGCCCCACGAAAATAACATTAAGAGTCTGGATGAGGAAGAGTACTACAAATACTTGGGTATCCTTCAAGCTGACAACATCAAGCACACTGAAGTCAAGAAAAAAGATTAGAGGTGAATACATCAAGAGAGTGAAGAAGATCTTAAAGTCCAAACTCAATGGAGGAAATACCATAAAGGCAATCAACACCTGGGCAATCCCCGTCATTAGGTACACAGCTGGCGAATAAGTGGACTGGACTCAAGCAAGAACTAAAAAGCAATGGATAGGCAGACCAGAAAAAATAATGACAATGAATCCGCCCTTCATCCAGCAGGGACATTGATAGGACTTTATGCTACCAAGGCAAATAGGTGGGCGTGGAATCTACAAGTACATCAGATGGTTGAAGAGGAAAAAATGGCTTTGGAAGAATATCTGAAGAACAATGATGAAGATGCACTGAAATTAGTATATCAGGAAGGCTTACTAGCTACTGGAGAGACCAAACTGGCCTACAAGAAAGACCCAATGAAGAACAGAATAGAGGCATGGGAAGACAAAGCACTACATGGCCAATACATGAAAAAAATAGCTGGGAAAGCAGATAATAATAAAACCTGGCAATGGCTAAGAGCATGAAAATTGAAGAAAGAGACCGAGGGACTAATTCTGGCTGCACAAGACCAAGCCTTAAGGACAAATGCATACAAAGTCAAAATTGAGAAGACAGCAAAAGACAGTAAGTGCCGCCTATGCAAAGAAGCTGAAGAAACAGTGGACCACCTGGTAAGCTGTTGCAAGAAGACTGCACAGACTGACTACAAGCAGCGGCATGACAAAGTAGCAACAATGGTGCATTGGAAGATCTGCAAAAAATATCATTTGCCTGTAAGCCAAAACTGGTGGGATCATAAAATAGAGAAAGTCATAGAAAATGATAAAATTAAACTGCTCTGGGATTTCAGAATTCAAACAGACAAGCACCTGCAACATAACACCCCAGACTTAACAATTGTCGATAAGAAAGACAAAAAAGTCTGGATAGTGGACGTGGCAGTGGCTGGAGATAGCAGAATAGATGAGAAAGAACTGGAGAAGATAACAAAATACAAAGACCTACAAATAGAAATAGAAAAACTGTGGCAAAAGCAAGCAAGGGTAGTACAATAGTCATAGGCTCCTTGGGGCAATCCCAAAACAACTGGAGCACAACTGAAACACCATTAGCATTGACAAATTCGCTAGGAGTCAAGTGCAACAATGGCAGCCTTATGTAGGAACTGCTTCCAATCCTGCGACGAATCTGTAATACCACAACATCACATCTGCTATCCAGTCCTGGGTAAGACCGATAGGTAGGACAAAATGCCAATCCAGTCTGAAAATATGGAGACTGTGCGATGATAGATAATAATAATAATACATCAAGAGAGTGAAGAAGATATTAAAATCCAAACTCAATGGAGGAAATACCATAAAGGCAATCAACATCTGGGCAATCCCAGTCATTAGGTACACAGCTGGAATAGTGGACTGGACTCAAGCAGAACTAAAAGAAATGGATAGGCAGACCAGAAAAATAATGACAATGAATCACGCCCTTCATCCACGCAGTGACATTGATAGACTTTATCTAACCAAGGCAAATAGGTGGGCGTGGAATGCTACAAGTACATCAGATGGTTGAAGAAGAAAAAATGGCTTTGGAAGAATATCTGAAGAACAATGATGAAGATGCACTGAAATTAGTATATCAGGAAGGCTTACTAACACTGGAGAGACCAAACTGGCCTACAAGAAAGACCAAATGAAGAACAGAATAGAGGCATGGGAAGACAAAGCACTACATGGCCAATACATGAAAAAAAATAGCTGGGAAAGCAGATAATAACAAACCTGGCAATGGCTAAGAGCAGGAAAATTGAAGAAAGAGACCGAGGGACTAATTCTGGCTGCACAAGACCAAGCCTTAGGACAAATGCATACAAAGTCAAAATTGAGAAGACAGCAACAGACAGTAAGTGCCGCCTATGCAAAGAAGCTGAAGAAACAGTGGACCACTTGGTAAGCTGTTGCAAGAAGATTGCACAAACTGATTACAAGCAGCGGCATGACAAAGTAGCAACAATGGTGCATTGGAAGATCTGCAAAAAATATCATTTGCCTGTAAGCAAAAACTGGTGGATCATAAAATAGAGAAAGTCATAGAAAATGATAAAATTAAACTGCTCTGGGACTTCAGAATTCAAACAGAGAAGCACCTGCAACATAACACCCCAGACTTAACAATTGTCGATAAGAAAGACAAAAAAGTCTGGATAGTGGACGTTGGCAGTGCCTGGAGATAGCAGAATAGAAGAGAAAGAACTGGAGAAGATAACAAAATACAAAGACCTACAAATAGAAATAGAAAGACTGTGGCAAAAGCAAGCAAGGGTAGTACCAATAGTCATAGGCTCCTTGGGTGCAATCCCAAAACAACTGGAGCACCACTTGAACACCATTGGCAATTGACAAATTCGCTATTAGTCAATTGCAAAAGGCAGCCTTATTAGGAACTGCTTCCATCCTGCGACGATATCTGTAATACCATCAAACATCCACATCTGCCTATCCCAGGTCCTGGGTAAGGACTCGATAGGTAGACAAAATGCCAAATCAGTCTGAACATCTGGCTGACTGTGCGATGATCAATAATAATAATAATAATAATAATAATAATAATAGTAGTAGTAGTAGTAGTAGTAGTAGTAGTAGTAGTAGTAGTAAAGTTGGAAGGGACCTTGGAGGTCATCTAGTCCAACCCCCTGCTCAGGCAGGAAACCCTACATCATTTCAGAAAAATGGCTGTCCAGTCTCTTCTTAAAAACTTCCGGTGTTGGAGCATTCACCGCTTCTGGAGGCAGGTTGTTCCACTGGTTAATTGTTCTCACTGTTAAGAGGTTTCTCCTGTTAAGAGGTTTCTCCTTAATTCTAGGTTGCTTCTCTCCTTGATCAGTTTCCACCCGTTGCTTCTTGTCCTGCCTTCAGGCGCTTTGGAAAATAGCTTGACTCCCTCTTCTTTGTGGCAGCCCCTGAGATATTGGAACACGGCTATCATGTCCCCCCCTTGTCCTTCTCTTCATTAGGCTAGACATACCCAATTATACACCCTCCCTCCCTGCTGAGGGCATCAGATTGATTAATTTATGACAACACACAGTCCTTACAGATTCCCATGGTATTAGGTGTGGGAAAACAGCAGGGAAAAACTCTACAACAATTAAAACCGGAGAGGCAGATGAAAAAATGACTAAAATTGTTTATAATTGGAATGAAGATTGGGAATGTCTATGGAGATTCATAGTCATCCAAGTCAGGGTTGTTCCGAAGATGCTTTTTCAAAAAACAGCTGGACTTTATTTTTCCTAAGTTGCCTTTTGAAAAAGCAGCTTTGGGACATGAAGATTGCTAGTCACTTACTTATATATTCTTCTACTGCATTTTTAAAAATATTTTCTCTATTTTTTCCTTTTGTACCATTTATTCTATTTTTCTTTTTTAAAGTTTGTGTTAGTTTTTACTATTATAATCTCCAGCAAAATAGTTTGGGGGGGGGGGGGGAACCAAAAACCAGAGAAGCCACAGATAGAGAAGCAGCCAAGGTGAGACATCTCAATGTGCATGAATTTTATGTTGCATTTCATAATCTTTCTATCTCTTTTCTTTTAACCTTTTTTCATATTTTCAGGCCATTTATTTGTTGTTGCTGTTATTATTATTGTTGTTGTTATTATTATTGCTCATGTCAACAGATGTTCAGACTGGATTTGGCGTTTTTATCAGCTTGAGTCCTTCCAAGGACCTGGGATAGGCAGAAGTGAAGGTGATGTTGTCAATGCTGATTCAATCAGAATAGAGCTGGAAGGGACCTTGAAGGTCATCTAGTCCAACCCCCTGCTCAAGCAGGAGACCGTAAACCATTCCAGACAAGTGGCTGTGCAATCTCTTCTTAAAAACTCCCAGTGATGGAGCACCCACAACTTCTGAAGGCAAGCTGTTCCACTGGTTAATTGTCCTTGCTGTTGGGAAGTTTCTCCTTAATTCCAGGTTGCTTCTCTCTTTGGTCAGTTTCCATCCATTGTTTCTTGCCTTGCCTTCTGGTGCTTTGGGAAATGATGTTCTCCAAGTGGTGCTCCAGATGTTTTTGGATTGCACCTTAGAGCACCTATGGCTATGTAGGGTACCATATTTGCTTTCTTTCGCCACACTCCTTCCACTTGCAGCCCTTCCTATCTTGTGATTTATTATTACTACTGTGTGATTATTTGCGCGCGCAGGCTTTACAAACTTTATTCTGGCCAGAAGGCTGAAGCCCAGCGGAGGAGAAGGGACGCCCTTCTGTAGCCCCCACCCACGACCCCCCCACCCCGCGGGGGCTGGGGAAGCCCCGCCGTTGAAAAGCAAAGGGAGGCAGCCCCTTACCGGCCCGTTGTGACGTCGCGGAGGCCCCGCGGGGCTGCCCGCTGGCGCCATAGAGGGCCACCCCCCTCCCGGCTTTCGACTGGCCGCGTCCAGGCGGGCAGCAGGGAAGAGGAGCCGCGGGGAAGATCCGCGAGCGGACGAGCCGGGCAGCGCGCTGGGAGCTGCTGAGACCATCGCAGTAAGGAACAGGCGCTCGGGCCATGCGCAGGAGGCAACGGCGGCACCATGGAGAATAAATATCCTTGGCTCGGAAGGAGGAGAGGGAGGGAAAGAGGGAGGACAGCCCAGGGGTGGGCTTCCCCAACGCGGCGCCCTCCAGCTGAGTAGAGACTACAGCTGCCCAGATTCCTCAGCCCTGTAACCCTTGGTCGAATGGGCGAGGAATTCCTGGGTGTGAGGTCCCAGGTTATCTGTGGGCATCAGGTTGAGCAAGGATGCACCAACTATGAGTGCAGAGAAGAGCAGCAGAGATGATCAGGGGACTGGAGGCTAAAACATATGAGGAACGGTTGCTGGAATTGGGTATGTCTAGTTTAAAGAAGAGAAGGACGAGGGGGGACAGGATAGCAGTGTTCCAATATCTCAGGGGCTGCCCCAAAGAAGAGGGAGTCAAGCTATTTTCCAAGGCGCCTGAAGGCAGGACAAGAAGCAACGGATGGAAACTAACCAAGGAGAGAAGCAACCTAGAACTAAGGAGTAATTTCCTGACAGTTAGATCAATTAACCAGTGGAACAACCTGCCTCCAGAAATTGTGAAGGCTCCAACACTGGAAGTTTTTAAGAAGAGACTGGACAACCATTTCTCTGAAATGGTATAGGATTTCCTGCCTGAGCAGGGGGTTGGACTAGATCAGTGGTCCTTAACCTTTTTGAATGAATCGCCCCCTTGAGCCAATGAGGAAGTTGTCATCGCCCCCCTCCCCCAACACAACCTCTCAATCACAACATAGGAAATAATTCTTCAATTTATGCAAACCTTTTTTTTGATTTCTTTAAAATTGTCATCAGGACATATCGATGCAAATAATTTATTTCCAGTCTTTTTCCCATATCTCCCATATTCTGGCCAATGGCGCGCCACTGTAAGGGTAGAGGCTGCTGTGCAACACGCATGAAGATAAGATATGTACGGCGTTCTGTACTGAAGCTAGCTGGAGGAACATTTCAAAACACAATTCAATCCACTAATAGCGAGCAATCTGATGTTTTTGTACGACAGATATACAGCGATTCACTGTACGAAAAAGTCTCAAAAGTGTCCCCAAAACGTCTCGCTCCATCATCCCCATGTCACCCCCTTTTTGTTCCTTCGCCCCCGTGTCACCCCTTTTCGTTCCATCGCCCCCCTGAAAAACAAAATCGCCCCCTGGGGGGCGATATCGCCCAGGTTAAGAACCACTGGACTAGATGACCTCCAAGGTCCCTTCCAGCTCTGTTCTTCTATTCTAAAAGTATTCTTGGAAAGTCAATGCCCCTTCCTCTATTTTTTATAGTTATTGGTAGCAGTAATGTTACTGTTTCCCAACTGTCATTGCTGGGAGGATCTTGGAAATCCATAAGTAACTTTGTACAAGGATTAGAAAGAAAAGTGAATGGGAATAAAATAGTATGATTTATATAGCAACACTTGTCCTGTAAGTAAGCAAGTTTGGTCTGGTGTTTCTGAACCTTAGCAACTTTAAGATGGGTGGACCTCAACTCCCAGAATTCTGGGAGCTAAAGTCCACTCACCCTGAAGTTGCTAAACTAGTAAAACACTGAATTTAGTCCAATGTTTCTCAACCTTGAGTAAATTTTATAGTTCCCAGTAAAGGGCATGGGGACTAGGGAATTCCAGGAATTAAAGGCTATGCATTTGACATTGCAAAAGTTGGGAAACACTGATCTATTCAATAGAAGATGAACCTGAATAATGGAATAACAGTCGAAAGGGACCTCAGAGGTTTTCTAGTCCAACCCCTGCTCAAGCAGGAAACCTATACCATTTCAGAAAATAGCTGTCCAATCTCTTCTTAAAACTTCCAATGTTGGAGCATTCACAACTTCTGGAGGCAAGTTGTTCCACTGATTAATTGTTCTAATTCAGGGGTCTTCAGACTTGGCCCTTTTATAACTTGTGGACTTCAACTCCCAGAATTCCTCAGCCAGGCACACTGGCTGAGGAATTCTGGGAGTTGAAGTCCACAAGTCATAAAAGGGTCAAGTTTGAAGACCTCTGTTCTAACTGTCAGGAAGAAAAAACCTGGAACAAGGGCTCTTAGTAACTAGGTCCTTCCAAAGACAATGACCTACTTAACCTTTACTCCAAAAACCTGCAGCTAAAAACGTATCTTTGTTCTTTGGTTCCTTCACACAGAGGATCTTTCGTTCCCAATCCACAAGGCACAAATTCCCAAGCAAATCGGAGTGCCTTCTGGATGGAAAAGTTGATCATTACATTAGCCATAGAAACATCCAGTTCACCTTTAAGTACATACAGATAGTCCGCGACTTACAACCATTCGTTTAGTGACTGTCCAAAGTTACAATGGCATTGAAAAAAGTGACTTTTGACTGTTTTTCATACATATGACCATGGTCACATGATCAAAATTCAGAGTCTTGACAACAGGCATGCATTTATGACTGCTGCAGCATCCCGGGGTGACGTGATCGCCTTTTGCGACCTTATGACAAGCAAAATCAATGGGGAAGCCAAATTCACTCACCAACCGTGTTACTAATTTAAAAACTTCAGCAATTCACTTAACAAGTGGGGCAAGAAAGGCCGTAAAACTCACTTAACAAATCTCACTTAGCAATATCAATTTTGGGCTCAGTTGTGGCCATAAGTCGAGGACTACCTGTATCGCTCTGAAAAGAAAGAAGCAAAAATAAGTATATTTGGATGCGAGTATCTTCCAGATCCACATCTCTCTCTCTATTGGAAGCTCTTAATGTTTCCTGCTTTTCTAGGGGAGCAGTTTAATATTGGGTGTACTTTGAAACCCTCTTTGAAATAATCATAATATTCCAGTTGACCTAATTAGGAAGCAAAAGGAATCCAGGCTAGCAGTGGCCTACTGGAATAATCTTTCAATAGAGATCAATGTGGCCCCCTTTCCCGATGACATTTTGGAAGATGCTCAAAACACCTCCCAAAATGCTCCAGCTAGTTAGCTTTCGTCATGTTCTTATCTTTTATTTATCTGATTTCTGCCCAGCTACAATTTTTATGTGTTTTTAATTATTTTTACTCAGACTTTAATACTTATTGTGGGCGTTTTTAATGTTTTTCATAACTTATAAACTTAGATCCCAGCATGATATAAATGGAATAAATGAATGAATAATCGTAAGTTTGCTGTGTGAGGGCTTTTTTAATGAGTAGTATATTAAGAAGTGCAAAGTAGGGTCCTGCGTTATAGGGCACACCATTTTTTCTACACAAATACACATTTAATCCTTTTGTTGAGGATTCCCAGTTTTCGTTGATCAACGTTACTCCATTCCTTTGCAACAAGCAAAGCTTCATCTGAATTTAATGGCAGTTTACGGTTAACCCTATGTATATGTTTGGTGTGTATCCCTAAATTGAGAGTCACTAGGAGTTGGGGAACATATAAATTTGATATATTACTTACCATTTATTTATTTATTTATTTATTTATTTATGAGACTTATATACCGCTTTAAGTGCAAGCACTCTCTAAGCCAGTGGTTCTCAACTTTTCTAATGCCGCGACCCCATAATACAGTTCCCCATGTTGTGGTGACCCCCAACCACTTATACATCACCGGGTGCCAGGGGCGTGGCCAAAGAAAAGAGGGAAAAAATGGCAGACAGCCTTGTTTGGCGACCCCCGTGAAATGGTCGTTCGACCCCAAATGGGGTCCCGACCCACAGGTTGAGTACCACTGCTCTAAGCGGTGTACACCAGTAAGCAATGTGTATATATATATATATATATATATATATATATATATATATATATATATATTTACATTGCCCCCAACAATCTGGGGCCTCATTTTACCGACCCCGGAAGGATGGAAGGCTGAGTCAACCTTGAGCCGGTGAGATTTGAACCGCTGACCTGCTGAACACAGTCAGCTAAAGTGGCCTGCAGTACTGCACTCTAACTGCTGCGCCACCTCGGCTCATTATTAGATTTTTATGCTGCCTTTATTATTTTATAAGTAACTCAAGGTGGTGAACATACCTAATAATACTCTTTCCTTCTCCTATTTTATCCACAACAATCTTGTGAGGTGGGTTGGGCTGAGAGAGAGAGTGATTGACTCAAAGTCACCCAGTTGATTTTCATGCCTAAACTAGGACTAGAACTCACAGTTTCCTGGTTTCGAGGCAAGCACTTAACCACTCAGCCAAACTGGCTCTTATTACATATAATGCAGGGAAATTGTTATTTTCCCCCATAAATGTTTTCAAAGAGGATGGGGAAGTTGTTTTTCCATGAGAGGAAAACATCCCTACTATTGTAATTATATTTCACTTAGAACGTTGCTGTACAAAGTTATTTTGTTCTTCTAAAGCTGAGTCTAAATGAAATAGATGAATGTAAGTAATTTAAGTGCACTTGGTCATAGAAATCTTAATGTTAAAAGTCACGAGATTGTCTCTTACCTATTTTCTGAATTAAGACTGTCAATGTTGTCAATATTTTCCGGATTAAGATTGTCAGTATTGTTGAAAGTTCCCTTAATTCACTTTTCTGCACATGGTTCATGGACATGATTTATGATGAATTTAGAGAAGGCAAGATCAACATAGATAAGACCTTAAAGCTGCTGAATAAGTTTGAAGTCTCTTATGATTATGTTCATGTGAAAAAAGTTTTTAAGGTGAGAAAAAAATATTTTTTTTAAAAAAATGTTTTGTTAAAAATATATTCAAAACCATTTTCTCCGGTGTTGATTGGACCAATTTCTAGATTAAAGTTTTCTTTTAATATGGAAATGTATGTTGTTAGATTTTTTTAATCTCACTTTTATTATTTTTATAAATAACTCAAAACAGTGAACATACCTAATACTCCTTCCTGCCTCTATTTCTCCCCCAAACAACAAATCCATGAGGTGAGTTGGGCTAAGAAAGTGTATCTGGCCCAATGTCACCCAGCTGGCGTTCATGACTAAGGTGGGACTAGAACTCACAGTCTCCTGGTTCCTAGCCTGGTGCTTTAATCACTAGACCAGTGGTTCTCAACCTTTTTAATGCCGCGACCCCCAACCGGTCTTAAGTCGAGGACTACTCAACCGGTCGTAAGTCGAGGACTACTCAACTGGTGCAGAACCATTTGCAGAATGGGACTTTTGGCGGGCTCAGCAGGGCAGAGAGAGTCTATTCTCTTGGCTTTCAATAGAATAGTCTATTCAAGAAAGTCTATTCTATTGGCTTTCAAAAGCCAATAGAATAAAAGGGAGTAGCACAGCTAAAGAAAAGGGAAAAAAAAATAATGGCGGACTGTGTTGTTTGGCAAATCCCATGAAATGGTCGTTCGATCCCAAATGGGGTCCCGACCCTCAGGTTGAGAACCACTGCACTAGACTAAAGTGGCTCTGATTATTGATAGGTAATGTCCTTGTTTACTATTTAGAAAAAAATGTAACTTTGTTGTACTTGTACAGAGAAGCATTTGTTATACATACTGTGTTTTCCCCAAAATAAGACCTGGTCTTATGTATTTTTTGCCTCCAAAAGAGGTACCAGGTATTATTTTTTTGGGATGTCTTACCCGCTTACCTTAGGACCGCCACAGCTAAGCTTCCCATGCCCCGACATCTGCCTCGCCTTACTGGCCCACTTCTTCTGCAGCCGCTTACCGCTGCAGCTGAGAAAGGAGCTCTCGATTGACACGCACAACCTTTCCTGAAGGCAAAACGGAGGCCGGGAAGCACAGCTCACGTCAATCAGGAGCTTGTTTCTCAGCTGAAGAGGCTTTTCTGGAAAAATGGAGGCTGGGGGGGGTGACATGCGCAAGCAGCGGTGAGTGGCCACAGAGAAGTGGGCCGGTGAGGCGAGGCAGATGTCAGGGCATGGGAAGCTTAGCTGTGGTGGTCCTAAGGTAAGCAGGTGAGACATTCCCCAAAAATAAGACCTGGTACCTCTTTTTGGAGGCAAAAAATATATAAGACCAGGTCTTATTTTATTATTTTGCTAGCAGATGCCTTTCCTGAAGCAAAATGGAGGGGGGGCAATGCGTGTGAGCAGTGGTGAGCAACCGCAGAAGAAGTGGGTCAGCGAGGCGAGGCAGCTGTTGGGGCGTGGGAAGCCTGGCTGCAACTGTCCTAAGGTAAGTGTATGCAGTGTGTGTTTAGAGTAGCACAATTCTCTGTGTTTTTCAGCTGCATGAGATAAATGAAGGTAAGTCATTGCACTGCTATGAATTTGAATGTGTTTCAATCCTACCGATTATCAGTTCTCTCCTGCTTTCTTGCCTATTTAGGCTTGACATTAGATTAGAGGTAGTCCTTGACTTACAACCGCAGTTGAGCCCCAAATTCCCTTTGCTAAGCAACACTGTTGTTAAGTGAGTTTTGCCCCACTTTACGACCTTTCACAGTTGTTAAGTGAGTCACTGCAATTGTCAAATTAGTAACCTGGTTACTAAGCAAATCTGGATTCCCCACTGACTTCGCTGGTCAGAAGGTCGCCAAAGGGGATCATATGACCCTGTCATAAATATGAGTCAGTCACCAAGCATCTGAATTTTGATCACGTGACCATGGGTTTGCTGCAATGGTCGTAAGTGTGAAAATTGATGATAAATCACTTGTTTCAGTGCCGTTGTAACATTGAACGGTCACTAAATGAACTGTTGTAAGTTGAGGACTACCTGTAATGGCTTATCTTCAAATGAAAGACAGCTTTCCCAGAGTTCATTTCTTCATCTTAGTATTTATACTGATTTATATGCATGTTATTAAACTTCTTCTCTCTCCTTTTTTTTTTTTTGTAGAAAAATGACAAACAGAAGTCTGGACTTATTACCATGGAAGATTTCAGAGCGATCTACCGAATGCTTCTGCACAGACCTGAACTGATCGAACTCTTCAACAGCTACTCGTCAAACAAAAAAGCTCTATCATCAGGAAATCTAGCTGAATTTCTCAGAAAGGAGCAATTTGAGCTTAATGCTAATGAAGGAAGAGCTGTTTCGCTCATTAATCGATATGAACCCATTCATGAAGGTACCCCAAAGTTCTAAAGTTACGATTTAATTAGTGGAACTTCATTTTCTAAGGAAACAATGAAGGCTGAAATAGAAATAATGCAAACAATTGTCATGCTTCTTTAAGAACATACTTTTTTTTTTGTTGGAAGAAGTCATTGGTCATTGTCTGTTATCATAGTTGTGTCTTCTGTACCCTATGTTTATTTAATAGATCAGAATTGTCATTTTGTGTAGCCACCGCCTTTTGAGTGATGTGTAAAAATTTAAAACGTGTACAATCTTTAAAACAACTTGTATTATATGTTATGCATGCTTTTATGAATTTAAATTGTATTAATTTATTATACAGTATATGACATAATGTATTAATTTATTCAACTGCTTCTATGCTAATTAATCATCTCCTGAGAAGATGATCAGAGAGCTCAGCTTATAAATAAGCTTTATAATTCTCTATTTATAAAAATGATTCTTCTATGCATACAATGAGGAAAAACATTACAACTAATGTGATTGTTTTCTGAAAGCATTATGTTCACATTTCTTGTTTAACGCTTTGTCTATTTTAAAAAAAACACTGGTTTACAGTATGTACGTTGTCCTATATTGTATGCATGCTTCATCTTAGTAAATGTTTCATTCAGATATTAAATGTGACTATAGGAATATCAGTTCAAGTCATCGTAACTTATGAGATTAGTCTTTTAAAACTTTTTTTTTTCTGCAGCAGCCTAGACTGATAATTTTACAGTTCAGATTGCAATAGAGGCAACTTATAAAATTTTAGAAGAAAAAAAAATAGCTCAAAGCACCTCAGTGATTAATAGCACAACCTTACATTTGCCTATTAAACTCAATGGGACATAAGCTGAGTAGACATGCCTATGTGTACATTTGAATATAATGTCCTAGTAAATCTGTAATGACATAGAGTTAATGTCTTATATAAATGATTTTTCTTTGCTGTCCAAAATGTACTGCCACCTAGTTAAAAATAACTATCAGATTTATAATAAATAAAAAGACAAATTTTCATTGGGGTATTTCAGCTTTCTGTTATGAGACAGCCTCATTATAGGTAGTCCTCCACTTATGACCAGTTGTTTAATGACTGAAGTTATGACAGACATCTTCCAAAAGATACTTATGATCTGTTTTCAAACTTCTGATGCCCACCCCCTACACCAGGGGTAGGCAACCTTGGCTCTTTTATGACTCGTGGACTTCAACTCCCAGAATTCCTGAGCCAGCCATGCTGAGGGGAAAGGGAGAGGTTTCCAAGCTGAGCCATGCTGGCTCAGGAATTCTGGGAGTTGAAGTCCACGAATCATAAAAGAGCCAAGGTTGCGTACTCCTGCCCTACACTCACATGACCCATTTCATGTACTCAACAACTAGCCCGCACTATGGCTGTTTAATATTGTCCTGTGGTCATGTGACTTTGACTTACAATGGCTTTACCGAAAACCAGTGTTTACTTCCAGCTTCGGCAAAAAGGCCCATAGCGAACAATGGATCTGCTTAATGACCGTGGTATTTGTTGATGACTGTGGAGGCTGCTTACTGACCATGATGCTTTTAATGGTGGGCTCCATTATAGTTGTAAATCGATGACTATCTGAAATTGGAATAATATTTGACTTTTTACCACACTTGGAGGTATTATAGGCAAGCTTATAACACTAACAAAATTAGATATGAATAAGTTTCAGTATTACTAAATTAATCATAAATAAAAACACACAAACAAAACCTAAAACATTTCTCTACCCTGTTTTTAGAGTCAAACTGTTTTTTTTCTTTATTTTTTGTACATTAGGCCCTTTAACTTTCTGCAAGTTTTTGTGATTTGGCACATACACAACTTCACTGATTTCTAAAATTACTTCATCTAAAAGTTAATTGTAATGTGATGGTGTGTTCATTTAAAACATTGAGGCCAAGTTATATAATCCTTGGATTTTTAAAAATGTTCTATTTTTAGCATTGTTGTTGTTAATTGCGAAGTCGTGTCTGACCCATCGCAACCCCATGGACAACGTTCCTCCAGGTCTTCCTGTCCTCTACCATCTTCTGGAGTCCATTTAAGCTCACGCCTACTGCTTCAGTGACTCCATCCAGCCATCTCATTCTCTGTCGTCCTCTTCTTCTATTGCCCTCAATCTTTCCCAGCATTAGGCCCTTCTCCAGTGAGTCCTTCCTTCTCATTAGGTGGCCAAAGCACTTGAGTTTCAACTTCAGGATCTGGCCTTCTAAAGAGCAGTCGGGGTTGATCTCTTCTAGGACTGACCGGTTTGAACGCCTTGCAGTCCAAGGGACTCGCCGGAGTCTTCTCCAGCACCAGAGTTCAAAGGCCTCAATTCTTTTGCGCTCAGCCTTTCTTATGGTCCAACTTTCACAGCCATACATTGCAACTGGGAAAACCATGGCCTGGACTATACGCACTTTTGTTGGCAGGGTGATATCTCTGCTTTTTAGTATGCTGTCTAGATTTGCCATAGATTTCCTCCCCAGGAGCAAGCGTCTTTTAATTTCTTGGCTGCAGTCCCCATCTGAGGTGATCTTTGAGCCCAGAAAAATAAAATCTGTCTCTACCTCCATTTCTTCCCCATCTATTTTCCAGGAATTGAGAAGTCCGGATGCCATGATTTTGGTTTTCTTAATGTTGAGTTTCAAGCCAACTTTTGCACTCTCCTCCTTCACCCACATCAAGAGGCTCTTTAGTTCCTCTTCACTTTCTGCCATTAGAGTGGTATCATCTGCATTTTTAGCATTGGGTTGGCCTAAAAATACAGGTAGTCCTCGATTTATGACCACAACTGAGCCCAAAATTTCTGTTGCTAAGTGAGACAGTTAAGTGAATTTTGCCCTATTTTACAACTTCTCTTGCCATAGTTGTTAAGTGAAACACTAAAATTATTAAGTTAGTAACACAGTTGTTAAGTGAATCTGGTTTCCCCATTGACTTTGCTTGTCAGAAGATCGCAAATAGTGATCACGTGACCCCGGGACACAGCAACCGTCATAAATATGAGTCAGTTTCCAAGTGTCTGAATTTTGATCACGTGACCAAGGGGATGCTGCAGTGGTCGTAAGTGTGAAAAACAGTATAAGTCACTTTTTTCAGTGTCGTCATAACTTCTGAGGATCACTAAATGAACTGTTCTAATTCGAGGACTATCTGTACCATTTTTTTTTCTTACAGTGTTTTAAAACTTGGATGCTCCTATTATACAATGATTATTTTTAGAAATATATTTAAATACAAAATATTTGCAGTGCTGTTTTCTTTACAGTTTTTACAAAACCATTTGTGATCTTATGGAACTGTATTTATGGATTTGCATGAATTAACTGATTCCTGTTATCTCTTGGGGAACTTGTGTGTTTATATCAATAATGTGTACAAATGCTAATAATGAAATAAAAATATGAACTGTTATACAGTTAATTCCTTCTTTAGCACTAATTCTTGTTACTGTATTTTGATTTGGGTTTTAAATTTGGTAGACAAGCATATTTCTTTTGCTCACTTACATGACAATAAACAATACTACTACATTGGGTGGAAGCTTTAGTCTATATTTCTGTTATTATAAACTCCTGCCTGTCTAATTAGCTTGTTGCACTAAGTGTCACATTCCCATCCTTTACCATGGCTTAATTTAAAAAAGTAGTCAATACTTTGATCATTAATACTATTGATTATCATAATTGTTCTTGATATAAAGAGCTGTTATAATACTAGCCTATGACATCCAGATTAGTCCACTGCACATCCTTATCACAGAAATAGTATCTGTACTTCATTGCTAATTCTGGTTTTGATCTCGTGACCATCATCCTCAAAAGAACTCACACAACATCAAATCAATTGTTATAGGTTACCGCCAATCTGTGAAATTAGGTATTTTATAGAATGCCTAGGAAAATCTATAGAATGCCAAAAATGGAACGTCAAAGTATGTAATGCTTAATATTTCACAAACTTCCTAGGCATTCTGTTTAATACCTAAAGGCAAACTGGAACAGTATAAAATATTTCCACTAAAATGCCATTCTAGCTTTTCTTATTGCAACAAGTCAATCAGTACCAGTCTTTTGCATTTTTCAGTAAGAAAGTCCTGTATTTTATTTTGCATTTTTTCTTTCATTTTCATCTACATCTTTTTTTCAATAATCCCTAACCCTTTTCATGGCTCTCTTTTTATACTTTGCCTAAATAGTTCTTGTCGTTCTGCATAATGCCTGGTCACCACATGCAATGCCTGGAGTCTATGGAGATTCTCAGTCATCCAGGTCACAGTTGTCCCAAAGGTGCTCCTTCAGGAGGCAATTGGAGTTTCTTGTTTTTCTTTGAAGATGTTTCACTTCTCATCCAAGAAGCTTCTTCAGCTGTGACTGGATGGTGGGGGAAAGGAAGGATTTATATTCCTTACAGAGAGCTGGTCATTTGCATTCTTTTGGAGAGTCGTTGAGGCCACTTGGAGGTGTATCTGTTTCTTCAGGGTCACCTGAGCAGTGCAAATGGGTGTGGAGCCTTCTTGACTACAGGATGTTTTCTGTCCCATGACCCTTCACTGTTGAAGACAGGTGCGAGTCTGTGTTGTCTCCATCTCAAACTGAAGCTGAATGGTTCCTGTAGTCTGCACCATCTAGTCAGAGCTGAAGAAGCTTCTTGGATGAGAAGTGAAACGTCTTCAAAGAAAAACAAGAAAGTCCAGTTGCCTCCTGAAAATAATAATAATAATAATAATAATTCAGAATTCAAACAGACAAGCACCTGCAACATAACACCCCAGACTTAACAATTGTCGATAAGAAAGACAAAAAAGTCTGGATAGTGGACGTGGCAGTGCCTAGAGACAGCAGAATAGACGAGAAAGAACTGGAGAAGATAACAAAAATACAAAGACCTACAAATGGAAATAGAAAGACTGTGGCAAAAGCAAGCAAGGGTAGTACCAATAATAATAGGCGCCTTGGGTGCAATCCCAAAACAACTGGAGCACCACT